CGTCTGCCAGGTTTCCGGCATCCTTGAGACGGGGGTTAATGCCAACGTCGGTGGCGGCAAAAAGGGTGGTGATGACTAGGGGGGGGGGATATCATGGCGGGGGCCATGATATTTCCCCAGATTTCATGGCGCCCCTTCTTATTTCATTACGTCCCCAGCCCCCCCCCCCCTGGGCCGCGCACATGCCGCCGACCATGATTTGCACCCCTTCTCTTGGACACCCCCCTCTTGGCCGCTCCCGAAAACCGGGGTGAGCCAGAGCGCCCAGTCTTGCAGGATCCTGCAGGGCCAGGGTCGCATCGACCTGGGCTTGGGCGCAGGATCCTGGAGGGTTTTGCAGGATCCTTCGCGTTGACCCGGGTTTGGGCGCAGGATGTTGCAGGATTCTGCAAGGCTTGATTGGCCCGGGTTTGGGTTGACCCGGGTCAGAAGATCCCCGAGGTTTGGGCCTACACCGCCCGCACGGCGCGTCGTGTCGGGAGGGGGGAAAGGTAAGGTGGCGTAGTCGGTACGGAACGTCCGAGCGACGGCAAGGTGGCGCAGTCGAACCCCTTGCCACTACAGGGAGGTGCACTTCACGACCAGAGGCGGTGGAAGCCAGACGTCCTGGGCTCCGTCCTGTCCCCAGCGCGGCCCGTGTGGCGCGCTCAACCCAGCGCGCGCCAGCGCCCCGCGGGGCCTCAGAACCTCCGACCCCTTAGGACGCAACTGGCTTCATCCCGGGCTTCCCCTGGCCAACCTGGCAGCACGGCCTCCTCTTCGGGCTCCATTGTCTCTCACCGTTTTTTACGAAGTGAAGGGAGGAAAAAACACCCAGACCTCGACAACTGGCGTTTGCCGAACGGCCCTGGCCCCTTACTGCGAACAGCCCCGCCCCGTTCGCTGCCTCCCTTGGGGCGCGTTTCCTCCACGGCTTCGCCCGTCGGCGTGCTTCTGGGGGGGGATCTTCGACCCTCGACGACGGCCTCCCAGGGCGCTGGCCCCGAAGGCCCCCCCACCCGCGGGCCGGCCTCGGGGGGAGGAGGAGGAGGAAGGAGGAGGAGGAGGAGGAGGAGGAGGAGGAGGGGGAGGAGGAGGAACAGGGAGAGGAGGAGGAGGAGGAGGAGGAGAGAGGAGGAGGAGGAGGAGAGGAGGAGAAGGGGGAGGAGGAGGTGGAGGAGGAGGAGGAGGAGGAGGAGGAGGACGACAGGCGGCCCTGCCGCCGGGCTGGAGCGGCGCGCCCCACGGCGTGGTGGACGTGTGCGGCTCGGTCCAGGGCGTGCGGCTGCGCCAGGGCGCGGCGCCGCCCCGCGCCGCCCCCGCGGAGGGCGGGGGGGCGCCGCCGCCCAGCGCGCCGTAGGCTCGGCCTGGCGCCGCTGAGGAGCGAAAGCGCTCCTCCTCCTCCTCCTCCGCCTCCTCCTCCTCTTCATCCTCCTCCTCGTGGGAAAAGTCACGCGGAGTGTTTTTGTTACGTTTCCGTTGGCTCGAGTGGTTTTTCCAGTTTCGGGAGGCCTTCCAGCAGCTGCGCCGCGCCGAGGATGGGGGTGGCCAGATTGTCCCGAAGGGCCGCCGGAGAGCCAAGTTTTGGCGCGAAAACCAAGGGGCACCGTCAGGCACTAAGATGCAGGCGCTGGAATGTTCACTCAGAGCGTGAATTACCTACCCCGCTTTCGCTTCCGGGCAAAACCAAGTCATACCACGTGCCTCCTCGTCAAGCGGCCTGACCAGTACAGGCCGTGGTTTGGCATCGCTTGGTATCTCTTGGAAGCGAGGGTGGTCAAAAGCGAGGTAGGTTTATATGCTCCCTATTCACACAGCGCGTCTTCGCCTGGCTTCGTGCGCCCCTGATCCGGCTCGAGAAGTGCCGCAGAAGGACAGGGTTTGGCGACCCAGTCGTGATTTTGCGCGATGTCCGCTCTGGTTTGCGACGCTGGGTCTCAGGGAACCCACTAGTCGTTGAAAGTAGGTGTATCCTTGGGCTCCCAATTTCCAATCTATCTTCGGTGCCTTATGATTGCAAGAGTCGAGGGGGGTTACATCTTCCCTCCTCCTCGGGGGTCGGGCGGAAATGTTGGATGATTTCGACGCCTACCTACTTCATGTTTTTACCCACTTCCGCCGAACGGCGGGTGAGTGCTGCGCGAGCGTCCGTAGCTCGAGGCTGGCCTCGCAGACCGGGCAACAGAATTCATGTACATGGCTGGGCGCGTACGTCTACTGTGGGCTCCCTAGCCGCTCCCCCGCCGTGGCCCCGTCGGTCGCCGTGAGGCAAGCGGCTCGTGCCAGGGGCAACGTCCTGCTTTCGGGCGAGTTCTTCTGTTCTCGGCGATCTCCCAGCCTCGGGGTGCCTCCCAGCAGCGGCGCCTCGCCGAGAGCGATCGGGGGGTGCTGCTGGATCGTCACGAGCGGCCGGGGGGCAACTTCGGGGGGGGGGGGAGGGCTTCAGGGGGGCGCATCGGCCTCCAATCGCCCATTGACTTGGCATCGCTCGGACGTGTGCATCCTTCCTCGGTGAGGGCCATCGAGGAGCATCTGGGATAACCCTACGAGAAAATGCACGCGCGGAATCGAAACATGCATAGGGAATGGACGTCCGAGCGATGGCGAGTTGATCGCCGATAGGGCTGCAATGGCCCACCCCGCCCAGGAGCCTTCGGATGCGCTAGCGGGTGCGCATCGCCAATCCATCGACGATGTACCGCCGATTCCCCAGATCGTACAAGGCCGGGGAAAGGAGAGGGCAGATCCGTCTGCTACGGCATGCTCCTGCCATGGCGCATGCCCCACACGGTGCTCCCACGCGCTGCGCCCCTCCCCCCCCCCCCCTGGCCGCGCCCCGCGCCGCGGCTCGCGAGGCGTCTTCCTCTGGGCCCCGCGGCGGCCCCGACGGCCGCGCCCCGCGGCGGGAGCCGGAGGGGGGAGGGGGCCAGGCCGGCAGAGGCGCGCGCCCTGGGGAGTCCTCGGCCTCTGGCGTCAAGTCGGGCCTGTCCCCCTACAGGGGGATTTTTGACAAAAAAAAGTACCCCAAAAATAGTCAAGAAATATTGCAAAAATAGTCTGGGGAATATTTTTCGACTATTTTTCAACCTGTTTGAGACATTTGGAGGTTTTTGTTTTTTTAACAACTTTTCGTCCAAGATCCCCCTGTAGGGGGCCACGCCCGACGTAACTCTGGCGCGGTGCAGGCGCCCTGTTGGGCCTCGGCCGGGTGGGCGGAGAGTGGCGGCCCAGGAGCTGCAGGGAGCACGTCGACGTCCAGAGGCAAGATGGCGTCAGCATCGTTTGCCCGATCCCCCATCCCCCATCCCCATCCCCAGCCCGATCCCCAAGTACAGAAGGGGCGTTGACCTAAGGAACCCTAAATAAGGAACGAGGCCCCTTTTCTCCAGAAATAGAACTTCGATTTCCCTTCGAAAGCCTAAGGAAAACCCAAGGCAAGCTGTGAAACACTCAAGGAACACGGAGCCCCTCCCCAACGAAAAGGGTTCCTTCTTCAGGACCCCTACTGTATCCCACCACCCCCGTTGAGTGCCATGCCCCTCGAAACTCCCTAAGGACACAGGCTGTATCCCCATCTGGGGGGCTAAACTCGGCCAGTGGGGCCCCGGCCACGCCCGTGGGGACGAGGGTCGGTTCAACGATGCTCTTTTTGGGGGGGCTCAGATTTCACCGCAGGCTCTCGGGCACTGTCGTTGGTTGTCGGTGGTCTTCGAGCCTTGGGGGGGGGCCTCCCGGCGGCTGCGCCTCGCCGAGAGCGCTCTGGGGGGTGCTGCTGGATCGTCCCGAGCGGCCGCCGGAGAGCCGGGTTATGACTCGAAAGCCAGGGTGCAAGTCGGGTATGGCCAGGACCCCGGGTGAGGGGACCCGGTTAGTGGTAGGGCCCCGGAGCCTTCGAACTGGCCAGAATCACTGAACCAGGTTTGCCATAGCTGGTGTTTTTTTTCGGGCGACGGCAGTTCTGGTTAGTGGAGATGGGACGGGGGGACGCCCCCGGTACAGATCGCTAGACCAGGTCCCACTAAACCCAGTTCTGCCAACGCCCGAGCAAAGCTGGGGAGGGGGGGGGCGGGCTCAGGGGGGGGACGATCGTGACGACGCATCGGTCAACCCAGTTCTACCAACGCCCGAGCAAAGCTGGGGAGGGGGGGGGGGGCTCAGGGGGGGGACGCATCGTTCCCCAATCGCCCACTCATCGCCGACGGGGAGCCCCGGTCGGCCCACCCCGCCCACGGGCGTGTGGATTCGCCCTCGGGGGCGAGCGTCGATCTGTCGGCGATGTGTCGCCGATGCCAGGTCGATGTCTCCCTCGCAGCGTTCGTGGTGCCTCGCCCTGGGCGCAGCGTCGGCGCGGCCATTCCAATCGCCATGGGGCAAGATGGGGATCCTGAGTTTTTCCGCCGCCTTCGGGACCTCGGGCCCCCCCATCCCCGGGGCAGTCAGGACTCGGTTGGGTGTGAAAGCCTGATTCTGGGGAGTCGGGACCTCCTCACCAGCCTCCACTGACCACCCACCTCCCCGTCGTGAAGAGTCGCGTCGTTGGCAGTTTCTTGCGTCTGGCAGCCTCTCCTGGGCCCCGGGATCGTCAAACAAATGACGCAGGAAGGGAAACCGTTCATAGGGTCCAGATCTCTGGGGGTCCACGGCGTGAAAAGAAAGTGACGTTGGAGGTCTGGGCTTTCAGACCCTCGACAGCCTCCGAGGGAAACCCAATAGAGCGAAAAGATCCCTCCAGGCGGAACAGCTTGCGCGGTGGCAAAAGCCTCGCCCCACGCCGTCAGGACAAGAGACTGCCGTTGCCAACGCAGTGCGGATTCTCCCTCTGGCCCCCCCCCCGTATCTGGAGAACGCCAGCCACGCGCCAACGCCTCCCCTGCCTCCCATCTCCTAGCCCTCCCCCTCGCCCCTACCACTCCAGCCCCCCTAGACTCATGCTCATCCCTACTCCATCTGGCGACAGAGGAAAAACAGCGTAAGCATCAATGTTCCGAGCACCGCGCGGATTTCTTGGATCGGCGCTGGGCCCCCTGGCGGCGCCTCCGGCACCGACCTTGGCGCGTTCCCCGCGCCAGGGAGGGGGTGGCCAAGCGCCGATCCAAGAAATCAGCGCGGAACTCCGACAGTTTATGTTTATGTCGTTTTGCGGTCATCCATTCTAGCTGCCTGCCCCGATCTTGCCTGGTGGTGGCGCGAGCCTGGCGTTGTCCTGCCTGTAGCCGGAGCTGGCGCCATGGATGGGGCCGCTGCCAAATTGGGCGCAGCACCGGGAGCCGCGAAGCCCTTTGGTTGCACTGAGGCCCTTGCTGGGGAGGGGAGGAGGAGGAGGAGGAGGAGGAGGAGGAGGAGGAGGAGGAGGAGGAGCAGGAGCAGGAGCAGGAGCAGGAGCAGGAGCAGGAGCAGGAGCAGGAGCAGGAGCAGGAGGAGGAGGAGGAGGAGGAGGAGGAGGAGGAGGACGGGGAGGAGGAGGGCATTCACAGTCAGGCGATGTGATACAAAGCACGACGGGTGTTGTTGCCCAATGCCGTGCACATTGCCTCTCGAACATCGACCCTGTTTGCGACATCAGTCGCGAACATGGGGCCGATGGTTTTGTTTGTGATTTCTGGCGACGCTGCTGTCCCAACACCCGTTTCGCGGGGGGGTCCTCATTTTTAGTTCAGGATTGGTTGGTTCTCTTCTCCTTGTTCTTCCGCCTCATCCTCTCTTCTCAATTGTCAAGTTCCCTTCAATTTGTCATCGATCAAGGATCGAGGGTTCTGGATCGAGAACCGATCGGTTGAGAATCGAAGATCAGTTACTGTGGACGACATCGGGGACCTCGCCCTGACATCCTCGCGCAGCTTTGGTGATGTTCGCCCTTGTCGGTGTCCACGGGGGCTCGTCGCCACGGCTGGAACCGCCTCGAAGTGTTCATTCGCCAGCACGAACTCCCGAACACGTCGGGGGATTGTGATTTGAGCCCCAGGTCCTGGCGTCCTCGCGTTGTGACGGCTTCTGGGGTCCCTGCCAGGCCCCAGACTGAGGGAGGAGGAGGAGAAGGAGGAGGAGGAGGAGGAGGAAGATGAGGAGGATGAGGAGGAGGGCCTTCCTGAGGTCCTCCTAAAACGCTTCGTTTCTGTGCTTGGCAGGCGGCTCTGACGCCTTCGGCTCGCTTCTTGTTTCATCTTACCCTGTCGGGCCCTGGGGCTGTCAAAACACGATTCAGGCTGAAAAGCCAGTCTGGATGAAAAGGGGCCAGACCTTTGGGAAGTCGCATTATGAAGAAAACCCGACGTCGGATATCCGGGATACACACACGGAGTGTGACCGTGCCGCTTTTGTGTGAGATCATACGCACAGTCAGCCCCTCTCTCCTGCACCAAGGGCGGCACTGACCCGTCTCTGAAAAGCAGCCCGTTTCTTAGGAAGCACAGGGTTTGTCGAGCACACCCTCAGTCAGTCATGCGATCCGGATTCTTATCTAGAGCAGTTCGCCCTCAATCTTCAGGCCAGCTCAGCACCGCATATTATACCGCTTCGAATGTTCAGCCACTGTTTCAAGTCGGTCCCGTTAGGCACCGTGACCTTGGTACAGCATTGTAAGGACAATTGGGTTGCTAACGATAGCGATGATCTCGTAACGTCGTGTTAGGACCTGTGTCCCCTGCGCAATTCTGTCAGGGTGCCCATCTGATGTTTTGTCGCACAGGTCGTCCACTCAATCGAAACAGATCGACCGTCGGTTGACATTGAGTGTTTGGGGAAATCTCAAGCGGAATCGCTGGTTCGACTTCGAGCCGATGAGGTTTAAGTTGTTTTTCCCTACATGTTTAGTGGGGTTATAGTTTTCTTTTCTGCCGCGTCCCACTCGCGTCTCCCTCATACACCTCCTTCTCCTCCTCTCCTCTCCTCCTCCTCTTCCTCCCCTCGCCCACGCGCAACACCTGGACGGCGCGCACATGAGACACGCGTCTGCATGCAGCCGCACGCATGCACACACTCGCACACACACCATATAACGCCAGTGTGGCATATTGTCGACACCATAGAGGGTGCGCATGGAGCGGTCTCTGAGCACGGCCGCTATCTGCGACGGTCTCAGCGAAGCGCGCCAGGCGTGGCACTTTCTCGACACCATGGAGGGTGCGCAGGGGGTGGTCTCCCACCGCGGTCTCTAGACGCCCTAGTCGTCCATGCACAGCAGGCGTTGCACTTTCTCGACGCCATAGGGAGTGCGCACGGGGTGGTCTTTCACCGCCGTCTCTATACGCCCCGGTCGTCCAGCCACAGCAGGCGTGGCATTTTCTCGGCACCACGGGGGGTGCGCAGGGCGTGGCTCTCTCACCGCGGCCTCTATACGCCCCATTCGTCTAGCCACAGCAGGCGTGGCCCTTTCTCGACATTATAGGGGATGCGCAGGCGGTGGTCTCTCACCGCGGTCTCTATACGCCCCAGTCGTCCAGGCACAGCAAGCATGGGATTTTCTCGACACCAGGGGGTGGTCACTCACCGCCGTCTCTATACGCCCCATTCGTCCAAGCACAGCAGGGGTGGCACTTTCTCGACACCATAGGGGTGCGCAGGGGGGGGTCTCCCACCGCGGTCTCTATACGCCCCATCCGTCCAGCCACAGCAGGCGTGGCATTTTCTCGACGCCATAAGGGGGTACGCAGGGGGTGGTCTCTCACCGCGGTCTCTAGACGCCCCAGTCGCCCAGGCACAGCAGGCGTTGCAGTTTCTCGACACCATAGGGGTGGTCTCTCACCGCGGTCTCTGTACGCCCCATCCGTCCAGCCACAGCAGGCGTGGCATTTTCTCGACGTCATGAGGGGGTACGCAGGGGGTGGTCTCTCACCGCCGTCTCTATACGCCCCGGTCGTCCAGGCACAGCAGGGGTGGCACTTTCTCGACACCATAGGGGGTGCGCAGGGGGTGGTCTCCCACCGCGGTCTCTATACGCCCCATCCGTCCAGCCACAGCAGGCGTGGCAGCTTCTCGACACCATAGGGGATGCGCAGGGGGTGGTCTCTCACCGCGGTCTCTATACGCCCCTGTCGTCCAGGCGAAGCAGGCGTGGCATTTTCTCGGCACCATGGAGGGTGCGCAGGGGGTGGTCTCTCACCGCGGTCTCTAGACGCCCCAGTCGTCCATGCACAGCAGGCGTGATGCGCAGGGGGTGGTCCCTCACCGCGGTGTCCGTCTCCCAAGGCTTGACCAGCGTCACCGACGGCATCGGCGGAGCAACGGCCACCAGTATCATTCTCGCATGTTTCACTCCAGCTATCTATCATCATCCCAGACATGATATAAGTATGTGGGGTTCCTCGGTAGCGGATTTGGGTTGTTGACGAAGTTTCGAGAGAATTGAATCAGTTCCATGGTCAGGACGGTGAGTGAGAATGACAACGACGATGCCAAATGGGGTGATCCAGGTGAATGCGACGATTCCGCCTGAGGCTTTCCCCCAATTTCAAACATGCGAGCCGAGGTCGCAATGTTGCGGCTCGAGGCGAAAACGCAGTTTCCAGATCGGAGAAGGCCTGCCGTCTGCCGAGAATGCCTCCTGCTTCCCACTTCCCCCCTGTCGCTCGCCTCCGAGCGGTGGGCTTCGGATGTGGTCGCCGGGACGCGGGGCTGCCAGGGCGTCTCTCCGTCGTGGATCCGGGGGCTGGTATAGGGGACCCCGGGAGGCCGGCCTCGGCTCAAGCTTTTGGATGGTTGCATGTTGACCCTCCTGGAATGCTGCAGCATAACCCAGCTTTCGAGTAGGAGATTGACTACATTATTGACGTACCCAGAATTTACATCTGTCCGTCGCGAGAACCTTCCGAGAGACCCCCACAAGGGGAACCGACGCCCCTCAAAAAGTACCCTGGCGAAGAACCCAACTCTCTGTTAGCGCGTGGCGACTATGTGCATGACCGCTCAAGGCGCATGAACATGTTGATGCGGCGCGCCGAAGCGAGGCGGGGTCGAATGGGGTGCGCCGAACTGGGGCGGGGCCGCATGCGACCGCAGCCACTGGGGCCTTTGCTTGAGCTCCCAGGCAGGCTCGAAACGTGCGATGGGTGCGCCGAAGTGGGGCGGGGCCGCACGCGACCGCAGCCTCCGGGGCCTCCGCTGGGGCTCCCGAGCGGGCCACCGAGCGTGTCGGCGGCGCGGCGAAAGGGGGGCGGGGCCGCAGACGACGGCAGCCACCGGGGGCCCTCGACGGAGCGCCTTACGAGGCCACGAAGCGTGCCGTCCGGTGGGTCCTCTTGGGCCGTCTTCGGTCGCATTCCTGGCCTCACTGGTCTGTCCCGAGGCCCTCTTCCCTCTTGGATGCTCTGGAGACCTCTGCGACGCGTTGGAGCCCCTCTTGAGCCATCCTGCAGGACATCGTCGGAGGATTGCAAAAACGAAGGATTGCAAAAAAAAACCTTCCTTGAACGAAGGATTGCAAAAAAAACCCTTGCACGAAGGATTGCAAAAAAACCTTCCTTCTTTTGCAATCCTTCGTTTGCAATCCTTCTTGCAGGCCGATGTCTCACACGCTTCGTCACGCGCGGGCCGGGGGAATATAGAGTCAAAGCCTTTGGGGCAAGGAACGATTCTTGGTCTCGGCAGGGGCTCGGCGTTTCTTCGTTCCCTCTGGGGCTAAAGGGTGCCTCGTTCCCTGGTTGCAGGCCCCCCATGGCAGAAGTAACGATGGTCCTTCTTCGCTGCTCTTTTTGCCTCAAATCAGGGTTTCAGGCGCGGGTCTGCTCGTTGCAGGTTGTCCTCGTCGTCGTTCTGCATCTGTCTGAAGCCCGCGAGGCGCGCGTCTTTGTCTGGGGTCGGAACTGCAGCGCGCTCTTAGAATTCGCCGCACTGTGTTTTTTTGTGGGGGAGAGTGGTCGTGTTGCTGGTTGTACCCTTGTCAGTCCAGAGAGCCAGGCCAGATATCCCGGCTCCCAGGTCGACAAGCCAAAGGCGGCCAAGGCGAAGGCGGCGCCCACGTGCTGCGTCAACTTCGCCCTGTGCGCCCCCGGGAGCAGGCTCCTCCGTGCGCGGCCCCTTGCTGCGG